TTCTCGAATAAATGTGGAAAAGAGTCGGATTCTCTTAGAGATTATGCTAATCTCGTCATTCTTTTTTAGATATGGGAGTACAATGTTGGCCAATATAACGCATCATCTAGGAATGTTACCCTATGGAAATACAGTGCTTTTTAAGCAGTTAAATATGTAACTGGAAGTGCATATTTTTTTGCTTAAATTTTCACATGGGTTATACTTACAACGATGATTTCTTTTGTTATCTGTTTTCTACATAGGATAGTCAAAAATTTCTAGCAGTAGCAGTCTAAAATTTTATCCTCAATGTTTTTATTCCTGATGTTGACCTATTTTAGTAGAGATATTTTTTATGTATGGAATTACCAATATGGAGTTTCCACCAGTCGTAAGAAGACAATCATTCGAAGAAAAAATAATATTCATAATTATTATAATGACAAAAGTGGACCATTAATTATTCATGAATTACCTCCTGGGAATATCAATAAATACCATATATTATTGTTATAAAAGATTACTTAAAAAGTTACAAAAAAGACCATCATCACCAAAAAAAAATCAAAATTATAATTCATCCACTATACTCTTCTGACTTTGTTCCTTCAGACTTCTGCTTGTTCAGTTGCTTGAAAAGCTAGTTTAATACTTGTTTACGAATACTAAAAGACATTCCAGATGTGCATTCAAAGGATAAAACTTTATATTGAACGTTGTGAGGATTACTTTCAACACTTACTGTAAACAGACTAGTGAAATGTTTTTTTTTTTGTTCTATGAATAAATATTTGAAAGTGTGCGAACTTTTTTTTGATTACTCTATGTATAAAGTTGAGTCACACATTCATTTATGAGCGTATTACTTTTTTTTTGTTCTATTAATTTAGGTAAAAGTCTCTTAACACTTGCGTTAAAACATAATGTCGTCTTATTCTTTTGTTTGCTAATATACAATTTCACTATCAATGTACCTTCACACTTCTTTTATCTATGTTTTATATTTCATAGCATATTCATTCATGAAACTTTGCTCGATCTTCATACATTTACACTAAGACTATATAATACTATTAATAAAAGAATAATTGGCAATATTTGTAAAAGTCTTATTTTTGAGATAGTTTCATTCAAATTTTATATCTATGATTATCAAATTCATAAGTTGTAATGCCACTTAATATAAGATATTTAAAACTCTTGATACAAAAAAAAACTTATCATATTCAAATATATTTTATTGAATTCGTATATTTATGTACCACCTGTGACATTTTCTAAAATATACAATTATCTCACTTACATGTTCGATCAATTATTTTCTTGTTGCTATGAAGTATGTAGTATTAAATAAAAATTCACCATTTACATGTAAACTGCCAGTAGTCTATATTGGTATAAGATTTCATTCACAATTTCATTTAACATTATCAATGTCCTTTATGATAATACTTCTAATGTCCTCGCCAGAATTAAAGAAGGCCATGTGTAAGCTTAATAACTCGATAGTAACAATGGTTATCGAAAGTACAAAATTCTGGACGTCTTTTTGTCTCATATTATATAAGACAAAATTATTTTACAAGCCATCATCTTTGCAATACTTTCAAAAAAGATCCATGAAAACGGTTTTCGGTTTCAATAAAATTTTACTAAAAATCAACAGAATTCTATAGAATTTGACCGAATAGATATGTGATTTTGTTTGCTTACCATTGGCATATGAGAAGAGATAATTACCTGAATCGCGCATCGAACTCTAGATCTGAAGTCCTTCTATCTTAATCACATGTTTTTTTTTTGAATGTTTTGTGAAAATGATGGATTTTAAAATAATTTTATCTTATATAGTATTAAACAAACAACACTGAAAACCACAACTTGATAAGTATTGCTGTTATCAAATTATTGAGCTTACGTTCAGTTCTCTTTAATTCTGACACGAACATTAGTTGAAAGTACGTAATGATGTAGATACAAGTGAATATGTACCATCGATCGATCAATAAACATATCATAGTAGTAAGCAACGAAAACACTACAACTTAAGTTTATTACTATGAATTGGATTTATTTTTGAAGAAAAAATATATTTTTTTATGATTATGTACTCATTCTGTTTATTAGACTCTTGTCATTTTTCGATTATTTGGTGAACATGTAATGATCTATAATCATTTTTTCTTTCTCTATTATATAATCTGCACTTGTATCACTTCTTGTATAAATTATTCTTTTCGTACTTAGATTTTTTTTTTTTTTTCATTGAATACAATATCGATTGGTTACGAATAAATGTAGTAATATTTTAACTGACAAAGTTTTTTTTTCGAAGATTTTTCTTTTATGAGTAAAAACTAAATGATATACCACTAATAATCAAAATGTTTATAATATAAAGAAAATTTCAATATGAAAATATAAATTGTTAGTAGATCATCTGAGATTTGTTAAATGGTATTCTTGAATAAGATTTATTAATAAATTATTCTATACTTCACCAATCGTTTACTTTGGTTTGACATATTATATTGAATTATGTTAATAGCTGGGTTGAGAGTCTGAAATCTTAACGTTACTGGGATCGTATAAAGTTTTATCGAACAAAGTTTTTAATAGAAAATTCAATAGTAACAATGTAAACTAGGAAATACGACTGATACAAGATAGAATAAGCTGTTAATAAATTTCCGAGTTTCTATCTTTATATTCAATTTTTGTACTATTCACATATATATATATTTACATAAATTTGTTCTAACCAAAAACTCTATATTTTATAAGAAAAATTTCGAAGAATTATCAAATGAAATTCTAAATATTCATTTGACACAAGAAAAAAATGATTTAATTTTTACACATCTTCATAATCTTGAAAAAATCTATACAATTAACATAAGCGAAAAAAAGAAAGATTATTATATATTATTTTTAAAAGATAATTTGTCTGTCAATATCAATCTATTATCACAATCGAATGTGACAGAATCATATGTGTAATAAATTTTTCTTGATGATTCATAATTTCTTCATTTGTATACAAGGTCATAAAAAACTAACTCGAATAAGATATCTGAAAAGCTATGATTAATAATAATTCCAATAAGTATCTCTCATTAAAAAAAAAACAAATTTTCTTTTTTATTGGAAAACATCATTAGATTGGAAATATAAAGAAAAAAAAACATTTGATTTGAAAGATCATCTTTCTACTATTGAATAGGATTTGTTTACCAAAATTTCTATATTGTTGACATATCTTCTCTTTTTCACTTCATTTAGCAAACAATATCATCCGTTACTTAATAAACCTGAAATTTAATGTTTTCTCAACTGTTTATTTGATTCAAAAAAACAGTCATCTTCAATATGCTATTTTTAGACCAAAAAATATTTTAATAAAAAAGAAAAAAACATTTCATTGGAAAAAAAATGTCGTAAAAAAATAAAAAAATTCAAATAACTTTTTCTATTTATTTAACAATCGACAAATATGATTTGATATTCTATTTCAATTATTGTCTTCGATCCGATCTAATTAAAATATATATATTTTTTTTTTTTCTTCATATCAATGAATCTAATCATGTGTATGCGCTTGTATATATATATTTTTTCAATCAAAATTCAACAACATATATCTATATAAGTATTTGATTGAGTAAAGGCTCTCCCTCTTCTTATTGAATGATAAAGACTAAAGTATGTATGTTTCGTCTCTATCTACCTATTGAGTAGGCCAATCAACATACTCAACTTTATCCATCTATTGTATTATCTCTATCTTTTAAAGACTGAAGAACGAAAATGATTGTTGATGCTGTGCAGCGGCCAATTTTAACTTCTTTCTTCTCATTGTTTCGATTTCGTCGCGTATGTGCCCGAAAGCATCTCTCATACGTTATTCACTTGCATATTGAGCTGTTATACATTCTTGAAACAAACAGAAAAAAAAAAGAAAAGAGAGCGAAAAAGCAATCAAGCAAATTCATATTCCATTTCCATTCTTATGAGCTTTCTTATTGTCACAACACTTGGCGCGACTCTCTTTTTTTTTCTTCTATTGTTGTCTTTTTCTTTTTCATACGATGTGATGCCGATATCAGTCGATGAGAAATAATCATAATACATATAATAGAAGTCGGCGGCATGTCGGTGTAGTTCTCCTTTATCTTCTATTGTCATTCAATATTGATTTACTATCTTTTCATGCCATGATTTCAATGTCTTTTATTTAAATCGATAATGCCAAATTATGAAATTTTTTCTTTTTTTTTTCGGTTTCTTTTTTCTTTTTCTGTTTTTTACTTGAAAGATTCTTAAAGACTCATTGTACAAACATCGAATTTTAATCAAACTTTATGCTTCGAGAATATATATATATATGTATGTATGTATGTATGTACGTGAGAAAGAAATGAGAAAGAAAAAGAAAATAATGTGATGCATTCGAGCGAGAACAGCATGCGAACGAAGACGATGACGAAGAAGAAGCAGAAGAAGAAAATTGAGTAAAGAAGTTTGTCAAGTGCTTCCATCACCAGTATGTATGTGTGTGTGTGTGTGTGTGTGTGTGTGTGAGTAAGCGAACGAACTACCTTCTTCTTCTTGTTCTTCTTCTTCGTCTTCTCTATTCATTCTTATTCGGGCGCACATACATACATGCATGTCGAGCAGGTATATTTGGGAACGAAATAAAGAAAGAGAGAGTACGCAAAGACATACAATCATCCTCGGTCACGACGAGGCGATGGGGATTTTCGTTTTCGCATCACCAGCGAAGAAGAACAGAACACAAGAGAAACGAGAGAGAGAGAAAAAATGGAGATGGCAGCGGCAGCATAAAGCAAAATTGATCAGCAGCAACCTGTAAACAGAAGAAGAGGAGAGAAAATGCCACCACCATCACTACCTTATATGATGACAACTTAAACGAAACGTAGAGAAACAGAGAGAGAGAGGAGGGAGACAGAACAGAGCAGTAGAAGCAGAATCAGAAGTAAAAGACATTGACATCGATGCGACTCAAGACGAAAGCAGCCAAACGTCTTTCGGTTCCGTCTCCTCCTTCTACAACATATCATGGTAAGTAAAATGAGCTAAAAAAAAGTGTTAATCGACAGGAACAAATCTTGTTTTGATAATAAACTAAGTACACAAATTGTTAATCCTCTCATTTGCTAAAAGATAAAAATCACGATTAACAAACATCGACATATCCTCCATTAGCATGTGTGATACATTTCATTGTTGAAAATTTTTCTAAATAGATTTCATGTTCAAAAAAAAAACAAACGTGTTAACAACAAACTTAAATTTTCTTCTTTTTATTTCTATGAAATATCAAAGTGTTACCGACACTCATTTTATTCATTTTTCTAAAATGAAACATAATTTTAATGGAACTTTTATCTATTGAATAAACATTGAAATTTTTCTGAATAAAAGAATCGAAAAACAAAAAAAAAAAATCTGAAATTGTCTCGAACATAAAACATATATCGTTTAAGAGTAATATGATTCTTTCATCATTGTTTTTATCTCATATACATACTTCACTCAACAGAGCCTATTATCTGTCTGGGATGATGATGATGGAGGGAAAAAACAATGGACAAATATTGACCTGTGTAGGTGTGTATATGCTTGCAAAAAAAAAAAAGAATTCGAGATGTGCACATCGAAAACTTATCTCTTTTCTTTTTCTTTACCGCGTATATATATATATATATATATATATGTCTGAATATTATCTTTATCCTTTGTATGTTGATTCAGTTGAGGATTACACACGATCATAAAAAAAAAGAAGAAAAAAAAAATTCGAAAGAAAGCAGTGTCATATTTACGATATCTATCTATATATCGACCTCTTATGAATGAGGTGACAAGCTCACAGCATGGATAATCATCGTCTGGAAACAGAGTGTATAGAAATGAGACATGATGGCCTGCAGCGATGTCCAATTCTTTCATATTGATTGAGAGAATAAGAGTCAGAAACGAAAAAAAAAATCCGCAGAAGCAATACACATTCGCTCAGGTGGAATCATTATGAGAAAAGGAGAAGAAGAAAAAAAAAGAAAGAACGAACACAAACGCAAATCTATTGGCATCTCTTTTATTCTCTATTCAGGTGAGAGAAAATAAGAGAATCATAGAGAAGAGAGAAGAGAAAAGAAAGAAGAGATAAAAATTCATTCGATGACAATCTCATGTCTTTCACAATATTTCATTTGAATAAAAAAAACGATAGTAAGTTAGTGATTTTCATTTTTTTTTTTTTTTTTTTTTTTGACAGACAATCTTTCTTCTCTCTCCATCTCTTGTCAAATAGATGCACATTTTATAGGTAGCAGCCGGGGCACCAAATGTATGAGACACTCTGTCGGCTCATTATCATACATATATTTCTTGTTGTTAAAAACGATATAGAGAGATTTCTTTTTTTTTTTTTTCGTTTTATTTTATTGTATCATGCATATGTATATCAACATCGTACTCATTGATGGATAATGAGTTCATTTTTGTATATGTGTGAAATTTGATTTTTATTTTTTCATTTAGAATCTCAAGAACAATCAAATGAACAAATGATTATGAAATGTACAAATCTAATTCAACAAGACAATAAAAATTCTGATGACGATAATCAAGATAGTAAGAGAAGAAAAAAACAACAAAAAAAAAAGAAAAAGAAGCACGTGCTTTAATTTTTGTTTTTTTTTTAATTTTAGCAAATGAAATGATTATGAAGAATGAACAAAATGATCATCAACATAGGTAAGGAAAAAAAAAAATAACAAGAAAAATCATTTTCGCCGTTGGATAGAAATTGTTTTCTTTATTTCCAAAGAGAGAAAAAGAAGAAGAAGAAAAAAAAACTGTTAATTAGTGAAATATATTGTATAAGCAGATAAAAACAAATATATGCTGCAATTTTAATATATTCAACAAAAAAAAAAAAAAAAAAGAAGAATAGTGTGCGTCTTTTCCCTTCTTTTTTTTTCCCTAGCGATTCATATTTAATCAGTCAAACTTCAATTTTAAGAATGTACGTCGTTCGACAACTTCCGACCGGAGCAAAAAAAAAAAAAAAAAGAAGACGAGAATTATATATGTGCATGTCTCTTCTCTATTTTAGAATGTATGATCATACTGACATGATTATCAATGGTACAATAACAACAAATATTAATGGAAATGCATCAAATTCAAGTGAAACAAGTGAATGTGAAAATCGTCTTTATTCATGTACTGATTGCGGAAAAAGTTTTCAAACATCATCAGGTTTAAAGCAACATAGAAATATTCATTCAAGTGTTAAACCATGGAAGTGTGAAGTAAGAAAAATATATTTTTTTAAAACTAAACAAAAAAATTTCTTTTTCTTTTTCTGTTTAGTATTGTCCAAAATCTTACACACAATTTTCAAATTTATGTCGTCATAAACGATCACATGCAAATGCACGTACACAAATCGATTGTAAAGATTGTGGTCAATCATTTCAAAGTCATGTTGCATTAAATAAACATCGGTAAAATTAAAAGTTTATTTTTTTTGTTTTTGTTTTTGTTGTTTAATTAAAAAAAAATTTGTTTTAATAGAAGTTCATGTAAAGAACGACATTTTTCAACAACAACAACAATAACACCAACAGTTACACCAAATTTAGCTGCTTTTATACCATTTATTGATACATCACCATTATTAAATCAAACAATTAAAAATGATTTACCATCAACATCATCATTAAATGAACCGATAGATTTAACAAAAACATATAAACGTACAAGACAATTATCAATTGATCAACCAATTGATTATTCAATAAGAAATAAACGATATGATTATAATAATCAACATATATCACATGTATTTGGTGATAAACAAGAAAAAAAATTTAAAAAAATTGAAGAAAATTTTATTGAAAAACAAATTAATGATGATGATAATAATAATAATAATGATGATGATAATGATAATGAAAATTATCATCATTTATTATTATTAGGAAAAAAACAAATTAAAGAATATGATGATCATAGACCATTAACACCAATATCATCATCATCAAGTCCTCAAACAATTTCATCATTTGATAAAAAACCTATTCTATCAACAAATGATAAAACAATAATTCGAAATCGAGATCGATATTGTTGTACTTATTGTTCAAAAACATTTCCACGTAGTGCCAATCTTACTCGACATCTTAGAACACATACAGATAAGTATTTTTAAAATAAATAATAAGAAAATCATCCATCGTTTGAGTCCAAAAAGAATATTTTATTTGGTTGAAATACTGAGTTTTCAAGTAAATTCGATTTTTGTATCATGTTGGTGATGGTAAAGGATTATTTTCGAAATTTGATATCTCGATAACAGAACATGGTTTTCGACAGAAAATATTAGGATTATTTTACGAATCATTCGACCTATATATATCTAGAGATGAATCGAAAATTTAATAAAACGATCCTAACTCAGATCCAAAGATCTATAATGACAAACTCTTTTAGAATTTTTTTCATCTTACTGAGGTTTCCTTGTGAAGCTTAAATGACAGGTATCAATTCAGGTGATTCTCTCGTTAGTAAGATTATTAAAAAAACCCTAAAAGCTTAAGGATATATAAATTTATCTATGCAATATATGACCATTTTACAAGGTTTATGCAAGGATCAAATAACCGAATATCGATATGAAATTTTACTCTTGTACAAGTCTTATGATCCTTATAGAGCTGAAATATTGTAACTAAAATGAATGCTTCTGTTTTTCGACATATTATATTTTTAATAAAAGTCAATTTTTTGTAACATATAGATGACTATTCGTATTATACTATTTGTATAGGAACAAAACTTCAGATCGAACTTCTTTAATCAATCTTATTATAATCGGATGTAAAAAAAAAACAATCTAACAACATAGTTATATCTTGAAAAGACAAACTTTTTATTCTAGTTGACTTTTCCTAGTCTTATTTATAGATAAAATATCAATACAAATGTTCAGGAGTGCTTCGAGGTCATCAAGGTTATGGGAGATAGTCCCTGTTCGAATCATTACTGCCTCTGTAAATGCTTTGAATCACTTGTGATAGGTTTTTTTTTTGTAGGTCTACCTAATAAATCATTTTCTTGTATGACTATTCGAACATAAAGTTATCATTTTCTGCTTTTGATATGATTGGAAGAAAAAGAAGAAGATTATTCCCACCAATCGACAGTGATCGAAGATAAACAATCAGATAGCTATTGCATAATTAACTCTTTTGTTACAGATGGTAGACTTTATTAGATAGCTATTGGATGAGTGAGTTGTTGTTAGAAATCATTCAATAACTTAATGACATTGCATATATGTGACAGCTGATAAACTCATAATTTAAAATTATTCATTTCAATTGACTTTATTGAAATGAAATATTTAATTAACACTATTTTTGTATGAATAAAATCATATCGAAAAGAATATGAGTTAAATTATCATTTCGTTAATTGATTAATATTTAAGTATAAAAATCTTACTGAACATTATTTTCTCAAAAATTAATTTATTTTTAAAATTAATTTTATAGAAATTCTTATTGTTTTTTTTTTCTTTGTTTTTTTACGAGAACAACCATATGTATGCAAATTTTGTAATCGAAGTTTTTCAATTTCATCAAATTTACAACGACATATACGAAATATTCATAAACGTGAACGACCATTTCGTTGTACACATTGTGATAAATGTTTTGGACAACAAACAAATCTTGATCGACATATGAAAAAACATTTATCACAAACATCATCATCATCATCATTATTAATATCAACACAATATGAACGAAATACAACAAATTCTTTATCACAAATTCCATATACATCATCAATACCATTATCATCATTTAATTTAAAGTTAAATAAAAATGAAAATTTACCACAAAATTCAACAGATGATGAAGATTCAAGTGAATTATCTGATGAAGATGATGATGATGATGATATGGAAGAAGATATTGATGACGAAGAAGATGATGATTTAGAAACAAATTCATTATCAATTGAAGATATTGATGAAACAGGTCAACAACAAGCAACATCATCATCATCAACGTAAAATGTTTTGTTTTTGTTTTTTGCTTCTTATCTCTAATCACATTCCATTTCTATTCTCGAATATTTTTGCTGTGATTTGCCATCAATAGATTTATTCAATATGTTGACAATCGTTTGTTTTGTTTTTTTCATCTTCCGGTGTGCTCGCACGATTCGTCTTTGTTCTTATATTCTATTCCGAAGAATCTACATGATAAAAAATTAATGTGTATATGTCTATGTGTGTGTGTGCATTGCTTTTTTTTTAGTTTAACTGATCATTATCCTCAGGCCACTATTGACATGTTCGAGAATGATAAATAATAAGAATATGATCTGTATAGGTGCAGAAGGAATAAATAATAAATAATGTTTTTTTTTTTTGTTTTGTTTTGTTTTCTCGGTTTTCTTTTTCTACCTATTGAATGTGTTGTGTTTGTTTTTTTTTCATTTATTCTTACACCGAATATATTTACCGTTGCTCGTTTCTTCGTATGATATATATATATATACATATAGATATATTATTGTGTTAATTTGATGAATAGAAAGAAGAAAAAATAATTTAGTTCACATGGTTGAAGTACTCGAAAATAGAAAGGTATGGATCGAACCTTGGTAGGAGGAAAGACAAACGATGATGGTCTATATCTTTCGGGTCTGATTAATATCATGAAAGACAATTTTATATCTATTTACTGAGTTTGTCTTATTGTATTTGATTAATATTCGATGAAGATTTTTGCAAAAATCAAAAAAAGGAAAAAATTCTTTGGGCTATTTTAAAGAGTAGTTTAATTATCTTGGAAATTTTGTTACGTCAAATAGGATAAAATTGAATGGAATTAGAAATGAGATCAACTATGTTATTTAAGTCAATAAGAGTTCGATTGAATCATTACGTACTAAAGAAGAGTCAACAGAGAACATGAATATAACAAGCAAATTTACCTAACGGATATTTATATTTTGTTTTTAGAGTTTGTTATTTTTTCTATCAGCCCGTAGGTATTATGGTGAAGACAATATATATATCAGTTTTACTCATTTTATCAAAACCCACTTGTATAAAAGCAGCAATTTTGGTTTTTTTCTAGAGTTTTTATGTTCTATATAAACATTCTATATTTCGTATTTTTTGACAACTGGACAAAGAAATGATCTTGTAAAAATATGACTTTTCTTGTTTTGGAATATAGATAAATTACATATACGATTGTTATATATTCATCTTACATTATTGAAGCAAAGCCAACCGTTCTCATCGACGACTCGCGATTCATGCAATCAACAGTTTAAGATATATAAATTTCATTGAATATCTAAAGAAATATGGACGAAGTTTCTTTTTTAAATACAACTTCGCTACAACTAATGTTTGCAAGAAGATAATAATCTCATCTAGACGAATCATTTAGATAACAATTTATCAATGATAATGTATTTCAAATAACGAACTGAATAGCTTGAATCGAGTTTAAAAAAGAAAAAATATTTGATCAGTTGTAAAACATAGAATCAAAAAAAAAACATAAAAAAAGTCACTTAATTTTTAAATCGAACAGTTTAAAGATGTTCATATGAACGTGAAAATATTTTCTAAAAACCGCTGCATATTATTGATAGTTATTGTTGAGTTAAACTTTAATTCATTATTTCTAATCTTTAGTCAAAAGAAGATGAAATCATTTCTTGATTGAAAATTATGATCTATTTCTATATAGATAAATCTCTTTATTAATCATGATGACTAAGACTAGCATTTGTAATAGAAATTCTAAATAAAATGTTTTTTATGCACTTTCTTTATTCTAGCAAAATATATTGTGTGCACTAGATTTTTATTATATACTCAGTGTATCAAAAAACAATTTAAACGATAATAAAATAGAAGATAAGCGAAAAACACATGTTCGTTTTTTTTTCTTTATACGATCAAAGAGAGATTGGAAGGTAGAAGAAGTAAAATATTCTAGAATAATTGAATAACTAAATTACATTTGTTATTTTTCCACTTATAAAATATCTATATAACCATCTTGCAAACTAAATATTATTTTATTCAACAACGTGTGAAACATGGTGTCTATCGACAGCAGTAAATGTTATATATGTACATTTTACTTCTGCTTGATATACCTGCCAATAGCAGTACTATTGAATATTATGATTAAAGATTAATTTATATTATTTATCATGCATGGTAACCATTTAGATTTGAAAGCTTTCTGATACAATATAAGTTCTTTTTGGAAAGTATCTCAGTTATTTTATACGATTTCTATATCAACATAACGGTTGATGCGAAGGTCTCGAGATTAAAATGTTTATTCATTTTCAATTCGTTTAAAAATATACCAGGCGAATGAAACACTATAGGTTAAGACCAGAATTTAGTACTCTTTCTGCATAAGAGCTCACAAATTTTCTGTCTATTTTTGTTCGAAAGCAGTGAGAAGATCTGTGGAAAAACTTCGTACATTTTTGTATTTCCACTATTGGAATCCGAAATTCAACATTGAAACTTTTGTTCAGATATGAGCTGCAGAGCAAAATTAACACTGCAAAATGTATTATCTGATTTTCTTTTTGTCTTCCGATAAAGTATGTAGACAATTATTTTTGTGAAATCCTCAATATTGAAAAATCATTTTTTTGGATGCAAATGCGCTTTACGTGGAATGTAGCTTCTGAAGTAATGCTAATCGTTTCACTTGAGTAAAAGCAACAGTTTAATTCGATATTACATTTTTTCCAAAAACAAAACCCGTGTCTACTGTAGAAACTTTCAATAATTCTTAGCAGCTGCTCAAAAAGACTTAGGAGATTAGCAAAAATCTATTTGTTCACAATCTAAATCAATTTTTCAGAACTTTCAAAAGATTTTCTAATTACTACTTTAGAATAAAAACAGACAGAAAAATTTCTAAAGTCATACTCGGAAAGAGTACAAAATTTTAGTTCTAATCCATAGTGTTTCATCAGTCTAGAATACTTTCAAACGAGTTATTAATGAAAAAAGACCTTGTGTCTACAAGGTTTCACATCATTCGTTATAATTATGTAATGAATCGTAATTTAATATAAAGTAAAAGATTATCATTGTATTTAAATAAAAAAATCTTCAACAAAAATTTTATATAGTCTTATTCATAAAAATAATCGCTCAAATACCGAGCTTCACTTTATAATTTATTATTCAGTACTATCAAAAAGAAACCACACAACCAAATGCAAAGAAAAGAAAAAAATATATACTGAATAAGATTCATTCGTTACTGAGTCAATAATATGAAACTAAATTTATAAAAAAAAAAAGGAAAGAAAAAGAAAACATGTAAAAATATGTTTTTTTGTTAATATTAGGTCAGATTATGGGCGGAGTAAAAAGAAAATATGTATAATAAGAAAAAAAATTCACAAATTTAATGACGAAGTGAAGTATTATTATATGTTGACAATAATTTCATAAATTCATCTTGATTTGAAATTTGACTTTTAAATTTTGTCATAAGTGTTAATAATTCTTGTATAGTTGCATCTTTTTCTTGTACAGCTTTAGTTTTTTCTTCAATTTTAATAGCCATATCCGAACAATTACCACAATTTGATGTCTATAATTGAAAATATTTTAAACATTAAATTTATATTGAAAAGAAAAAGAAATAACAAAAATATCTTTACCCTTTTTTTATTTTGATATTGAAGTAATTTTTGACGCAATATTTCATATTCATCATGTGTTCGTTTAAGTTGTTTTGTTAATTCTTCAATTTGTTGTTGTCGTTCCCTATTAAAATTTAAATATAAAATTCGAAACCACAAGAAAAAAAAACAAAATAAATTAAATTAATACCAAGAATTATCTTTTAATGAATCACTTATTTGTTTTTTAAGAAACGCTATTTTATCATCACGAATTTTTAATTCTCGAGCATGTTCTTGTCGCATTTGTTCTATTTGTCTTTCATACTAATAAAATAAAATAAATTAGACAAAAAGAAAAATTGAATATTTTTCAAAATCAAACATGTTCTCTTAATGCATCTAATTCAGCTGATGAATCATTAGCTGAATTATGTACAGCTTGAAGACGATCAACTTCAGCTTGTAAACGTTCATTTTCATTTGTTAAACGATTATTTTCCAAACGAAATTCATCAACTTGTTTTTGATAATTTAATTCCTATTGAAAGAGAAGAAAAAAACCAAAGAATAATTAAATAAAAATCAATATATGAAAGAAAAAATCAACTCGTTTTTTAAGTTCTTCATTTTCTTTTGTTAATTCGGCAACACGTTTATCTTTTGCTTTAACTTGTTTTTGTAATTCAGCAATTTCTTTTTCTAATTCTTCAATACGTCGTTTAAGACGACGAATTTCATCTTCAAGATTAGAAATTTTTGTTTTCATTGTTTCAGTATCATCGGATTTTTTTATTGGTAGTTTTGTTTCAATTTTTGTTGCATTAGTTGGAACATTTCTACGTGATGCTGGTGTATTTGCTGATGATCGATTTGTTAAAGTTATTGAACGTCGTGTTGTAGGTTTTTGCGTATCTTCTGATGATTGACGTCGTTCAATTGATTTTGATACTTCTTTCGGTGGTGGTACACGCATAAAACTTCCTTGAATTTCAAGATTTGTTGGTGATGTCGACATTAGTTTTTTTTTTTTTATCTTGAAAAGAATAATAAAAATAAAGACATAGATTTATTGAAGAAAAAAACGAGAATGATTAGAAAGTTCAAATCAGTATGTATTTTTGATTTATTAAAACACTATTGATAAGCTTTTTCGTTTATTTTATTGAACGAGTGTGATCAATTTTGAAAGACTTTTTTTTTAGTGAAAATTATATTTTATTTAATACAGTATTGTTTTTTCTTATTCTATTGAATTTCAATTGAATGAAATATGAGAATATGCTACTAATGAATATTAATGATTTCTTATACTACTAATATTTGTATTTAAAATAATGATTCCGGTTAGTCCGTTATTTGAATACTGGGCCATAG